GTCACTTCCGGGAGCGTCCCGAATACATCCTGCGCTGATTGCGCTCCAGGATACTCGGGGCGGAAGTTACGACAAGTAGGGGCGGAAGTGGCTTCTGCCCAGGAACAGAGCCCTCAGTGAATGTGACGCCATAACGGAAGTGAAGGCGGGTCCTGTTAAGGGCAGAAGCTGAACATTCAGAATTGCGGTACCAGGCTTCCGGAAGGGACTTCTGGGGAAGTGGGAGGGTGGAAACACGACAGGTTCATGAATTATGCATCAAGGTATGAGAGGAGATATAGCTTCTTAAAAGGGTCCCGATTCCTTTCCCTCAGGGTGGATTAGTAGCCCAATATCCTCAAGATAGTCTTAATGCTTTGAGAAAGGATAAGGATGTGTCAGTTGTCCACGGTACCTACTTAGGCCCATAGAAATCTGACCCATTCTCTCTGACCACACTCCTTACTCTGCTTTGGTCTTCTCTTTGCCTTCCCCAACATCTGATCCCTTAACCCCATTTTTCTTTTAAATGTAACACTCTTTGCTATAAGTGTTTGCCCACTAAGGTACCAGGGCCGTGAGGGCAAGGACTTCAAATTGTGGACTGCTCTAGCCTCAGATTCTGACACTAAGCAGTTAGTAAACGTTTGTTGCAAAGTGAGTTACAGTTCATTATGAAAATCTAACATGAACTCCCCTGATTGCACTCCCCCCGCAAAAAAGGTGAATTCCCACAGCATTTAGTTGTTGGTTTTTTTTTTTTTAAATCTTATTTTATGTGGTGCTGAGGATCGAACCCACGCCCCGCTCATGCCAGGTGAGCGCGTTACCGCTTGAGCCACATCCCCAGCCCACAGCATTTAGTTTTAATGCTATCTTAATTGGTTTTTGTACGTGATTCTCAAACAAGATTGTCAACTCCCCAGGGAAGAAACTACACTTTGCTGAACGAAGAGTAGAATAATAGATGCTGAATAAATATTACTTTAGTAAATGAGCGTTACCACAAGCTTGTACCATGATCTGCTCAGAATCCCTCTGGGTTCAGCTTTGTTTTAGCTGAAGCAGAATTGAGGTCCACCCTATTAACAGTAATGAGCCCTTTCTGACTTTAAAAAAAAAAAAAAAAACCCTAACAAATAATTATAATGCCCATTTTACAAAAAACAAGATTGAAGATTTAAGTGATTCCTGTCCGCCAACCCCAATCATAAGCAGCAGCAAAGGATGCTTTTAAACATTTAAATATTTAAATAGATGATGTATATCTTTAGTTTATAATTGTAGTTTGAATCTTTTTAAAGGTGTCTACTCCCTTTATCACATTTTTTTAGGCTCAGGACCGAGTGTCTGTTAATTAGCAACAGTTGGTAAGATGGAGGACTTAAAGGGTCAGGTGTGTCCTGCCTGGGTTTTATTATTATTCGGTACTGAACCCATGAACTTGAACATGCTAAGCAGGCACTCTACCACTGAGCTACCCTCCTAGTCCTTTTTATTTTGAAACATTCTTTATTGCCTAGCCTAGCCCCAAACTTGCAGTCCTCTTGCCTTAGCCTCTGCAGTAGCTTGGATTATAGGCATGTACCACCATGCCTGGCTGCTAAATGGGTTATTGATGACTGATTCACGAAACTTTGACTTTTGGGCTGGTATAAAAAAGTGGAAGAAATAACAGCTCACTCTTGCTGAGGCTGGTTTTGAACTCAGCAATCCTCCTGCCTCACCCTTCCAAGCTGCTGGGATTACAGGCATGGGCTACCACGCCTGTTAATATATTTTTTAAAATATTTATTTTGTAATTGGACACAATACCTTTATTTCACTCAATTATTTTTTAAGTGATGCTGAGGATCGAACTCAGGGTCCCGTGCGTGAGAGACTAGCACTCTACCGCTGAGCCACAACCCTAGCCCCTCCCCCAGCCCATCAATATTTCATCATAATGTTTTAAATGCTCCCACAGCATCTTTGTTTTTTAAATTATCAAATTCACCATTTCAGCAATTTTAAAGTGTACAATTCGGTGGTTTCTGTATATTCACAATTTTGTGCAACCATCTGCACTAATACTGATCATTTCCCTCTCTCTCCAAAAAGAATCCTTTACCCATTAGCAGTCACTCTCAATTTCTCCCTTTCCCCATCCCCTGGCAATCAGTAATCTACTTTCTCTCTATGGGTTTGCCTATTTGGGGCCATTTCATATGAAAAGAATCAAACAATATGTGATCTTTTGTGTCTGACTTTTTACATAGCATGTATTCAAGATTCATCCATGTTGTAGCATGTATCAAAATTAATTTCTTTCTAATGGTTAATTACATTTAAAAAAGTGGAAAAATGGGCTGGGGATGTGGCTCAAGCGGTAGCGTGCTCGCCTGGCATGCGTGCGGCCCGGGTTCGATCCTCAGCACCACATACAAACAAAGATGTTGTGTCCGCCGAAAACTAAAATAAAAAAAAAAATAAAAAAAAAAAAAGTGGAAAAATAATAGTAATCTCAGTAAGTTCTGGTTCTCCTGTTTTTCTGTGTACATAATTAGCTAGCTACTTCAGAACCTAAATGCCTTTGTCAACCCTGCTCCTGCCCTTGTTGTTAAGAAGCAAGTTTTAAGTGCTTTTAACTCCTTAGAGCAAAGCTTTAGAGCAATAAATGGGCATGGGGGAGAAGGGCTGTTAATTTTAGCCATGGGTTCTCCAGCTGGCACACTCTTTCCATCTTGAGTCACTTCCACACCCTGAGCTCTGAGAGATTCCTCCTCTTGGGGGCTTCCCCATTCCCTGGTTAGGTCTGAGCCACAATGGTGAGCATTCCAGAAACATGCTTAGGAGAAACCTGGCTAAGTCCTTTGATCTATGGCCCAGGAGGCAAAGAAAGCATGGTGATGAGATGCTTTTTCCAGTGGTTCCTCTCTTGTGTGGCCTTAAGAACCTTTCAATTCCCCAAAAAGCCATATGGCTCTTGTTTTGTGAATCTTCTATTACTTGCAGCCTTCTGAGGTCCTCCCAAGGCCCCATAGTCTGTTTCAATTACAGGAGAGAATTGTTAGGGTCTGTTCCCCAGGACTTCATACTTCATGTCATTTCTTTCTTGCTTTTTTTTTTTTTTTTTTTTTGCTGTACTGAGAATTGAACCCAGGACACTTTGTCACTGGATTATATCCCCAGCCCTATTTATTTTTTATCTTGAAACAGGGTCTCATTAGGTTTCCCAGGCTGAACTTGAACTTACTGTCCTCCTCCCTCAGCCTCCTAAATTGATGGGATTACAGGCATGCATGGTAGTGCCCGGCACCTCATGCCTTTTCATGGTTAGCATGACAATGTGACTTAGTCTGAGTTAATTCTTCTAGAACAATCTAGAAATCTAGGATGTCTCCTTCTCTCTTTCCAGCCATGTGACTTTCCATGGGTAAGGTAGCATTTAGGGAGAGGGAACAGGTAAGAATTTCCAGTGTCTTGCTGGTATATTTTAATTTATTTAAATTTAGGGAAACAGCAGTCTAATCAGGGGATAATTAATTCCCTCATCATTAGGGGCCTTCATGTGTGCCTTTTGCATATGGATGAGCTTCAGGGTCACACTGTCCCTTTGAAGGGAGACAGTTGCTGAAGGTGAGAGCCCAGTAAGCTCTCCAGGCACTTGAGACAAGTATTTTTCTGTGCCAGTGCTCTTCCCTCCACTCCCCAAGAACTGGATTCCTATGGGGAAAGCAGAAAAGGTTCATAGGTGTAACTTTCCCAGCCTCCTCAGATTCCTCACATCCCATCAGCACCTCAACCTGTACCCTCAGGTTCCATCCAGCCCTCTCTCTTCCATTAGCTGCATGTTGTGATCTTTTGGGGTGGGGGTGGGGGGTTGGGTTGATGCAGCCCTCCTCAGAAGGTTGTTTGCCTTGCACCTCTGCTTCATCAGTGCAGGCCCCTGTTTGCTTCTTTTCCCTGTAGCAGTCTTTTTTGAGGGAGTTTGATGCCCTAACATACATTCTGCTCCAGTCCGGAGAAACAGACTTCTTCCTCCTCACAATCACTGTTATATGCTGCAGGGACTCAGGGAGGCTCTCTAACACCTAAAGCACATACCTACTAACATATGCATTCCCAATTCTAGTGTCAAAGATAAACACATGGAGGCAGGTACAGTCCTAGGCAGCCCACACTGTCCTCTTGTATACTACACTATCTCCTAACCTCCCTGGGGCTACCCTATTTCCAGGGAGCAGGTGGGGCACAGATGGGGGTGGGGAATGGGACCTGGGTGGTTACCATGGCAACAGAGCCTAGCAACAGCTGAGAAGATGATGTGTGGGCTCTCATAGGATTGTTACAAGAGCCAAACCTAGAATTGGGGCCTCAGAGGTGACTGATCCCAGCTGGGCAGCCTGTGTTCCCTCCCCCAAACACACCCCTTGATTCCACCCCCACACCCCAGCAGTCCCTCTTTCTCAGAGAGGGCAGAGTAGGGAAAGCTAATGAGCTAACCACAGGGCTTCTAATGCTGCACAGCTTTTGGGGGGCAGCTATGGGTGGGGGCAGGTTAGGGAGCAAAACTGAAAATAAAAGAAGCAGGGCAGTTATATTTCCTATGGCTCAGTTACATTCCTTTTCCTTTGCTCCATTTTTCTTTTCCTTTCATCCTTTCCCTCCATCTTTCTTAGAAGCTCTCTCTTCCTTTTCTGGATTAGTCCATTGCCTTTCCTCCTACATAATTTTTGCCCTTTTCTCTCTCCTTTCTCTTGGTGTCTCCTGACCTTCACTGACAAGGAACAAGCAAGCCACGCTTCTGATTCTAGTTTTTCTCTTCCACTGGTGCTCCTGAGGACTTTTCCCTTCAGTTCCTTTTCCCTTCCTTTCATTCTGTCCCAAGTTAAAACCCTCATCCGTCCCCTGCTCTAGGTAGGCAGGCCATATCACATCCAGCCTGGAAGAATTTTCCACCTCATCCTTATTTTCACTCTTCTTTCCTGCCCACCCCCTTCTCCTCCTCTCTGCAGCGGTGATAAGGCAGAACCAGGGGATTCAAGTATCTTGCAAAGGCTTTATTTGAAAATTTTGAAACTTACATCCCACAAGAATTCAAGATTATCACCACAAGAAGAAAGAGATAATACAAAAATATATATCACAGCATAGGAGCCAGGTAAGAGGGGAAGAAGGTAGATGGAAAAACTGGTGGAAGTAGGGAAGGACCTGAGGAGAGGGAGAGGGCAGAAGGTAAAAGGAGAAAAATGAAGGAGGGAGGAAAGGAGAGGAAAGGGTAGATGTGGAGGCAGAGCTCCGGATGGCCTTGAACCAGCTGGCTCCAGTCCCTGGCAGCCTAGGTGGAGTGAGGGAGGCCCTATGAGAGGCTGGGAAGTGGAGAACTGGCTCTGGGGCTCTGAATTTCAGAGAGGCACATGCGCGTGCGCGCGCGCATGCACACACACACACACACACAGAGCCAGGACAGACAAGACAAAAGGGACTTGGGAGGGAGGGAAGGGCAACTGGGAGTCCCTTTCTCATGTAGTGCAGCAGGCAACTCCCCAAAATCCATCTCTCAGATAACAGAATTAGCAGTGGGGCTTCACTACCCACTTTCCTGTAGGGGAGCCCTCCGGGTAATACCAGCGCCCTTGGAGTGGTATGAGAAGACAGTGAAACTCATTACATGGAATGGGATGGGGCCATGACAGATGAGGGCATGAGGAGCCCCCAGCTCACTTCCCACCCACCTCTTGGGCAGCATGCAGGGGCCACAAAAACTAGACCAGTGGGCATGAGCAGAGAGTGAGTACGCAACACTAAGCCACAACATTGGGCCAGAAATGCTCAGGAGAGGTGAGGTGTGCATGAAACATGGACTCAGCAGTGACTGAGCCAAGGAGGGAGAGAGAAAATGTGAAACAAGAGGGAGAGTGTGAGCAGTCAGCTGAGCAAAGAGATGTGGATGGGGAGAGGGTACAGAAGAGTGGCCATAAGGAGCATGAGTATGTGCAGTGGCCTATGAGGGTGGAGGTGAATGTGCAAGGCTTTCATGTGAGTGTGCGAGAGTAGGGATGGGGGACCCAAAGTCACAAGTATGTGAAACCCCCAACTGCAGGAGGGTGGGCAGGTATGCTTGCCCATAGGGCCAGTGAGTGTTCCAGGTGGTGTGCAAGGGCAGGAGCCCGGAGCCCCTGTGGCCCCAGCTGCCCCACCCTCAGTGGATGGCGGCTATGCAGGCCCCTTGGCCTCCTGCTTGGCAGCACCCCAACATGCGGGGGGCATCACAGATTCACCAGGGGAATCCTGAGAGGAAGAGGGAAAGGGCACAGTCAGGAACCAAGAGGTAGGCCACAATTGAAGGGGAAGTTCAAGACAGAAAAGGGGCTCAGGGTTAAGAGGGCAGAGTAGGAATTAAAGGTCAGCATGAGAATAGGACACAGAGCCTGAGAAAGTGGGAGAAGGAAGGGCCCGCCCTAGAGAGGAGCTGGCCTGGTCCCCCTTAGGAAGGCCTGGACCAGACTAAGAAAGAGAGCCAAGGGCTGTGAAAGACCAGGCTACCCACCTAGGGAACACCCCCATCCCAGCTCTGGAAGCCTAAGTTGCCTTCCCTCCTCACCCTCCCATCCCATTGCCCCTGCCCTCACCGGTTCAACTGGAAGGCTGGAGCCCCCTTGGGCTGGGGCATCCCAAGCCGGGGTCCCCCTCGGGGCTCCTCATGGTCAGGGGTGGGGGTGGGCGAATCCCCGAAGGCCCCCAGCACAGTGACTCCAGCTGGGGACAGGTCCGTCAGTGGCTGCTGGCTCTCCTCCTGCCTTAGGGCACCTTGCTGCCCGGAAGGTCTGCGCCGCTTCTGGCTGCGGTCCCAGCTGGTGCATGGGAAGAAAAGAGGTCCTCTCACACACTCAAGTAGCCCCCATTCTGGGCCTGTAGAGGTCACCCTAGCCTCTCCAGGGACTTCCAACATCCTACAGTAAAGAAACTGGCCTCTGACAGTTCCCTATACTAAATCTCCTGGAACTATAGGCCCATAAAACCATTCCCAGGGGGCTCAGGAATGTAGATCATGCTCCCAAACTGATCCGGATCCACAAGATTAGTATCCTTTTCCCCACTAACACAGAACACCCTAAATTTGCCCACTCCCCCATACATGGCGAGAAAAGCAATTTCTCTTCTCCACAGCATGTGGCACATTTAGTTCTAGTTCAAAGTCAGCTAATGACATGGACACCTGAGTCTAATGATTCTCTCAGTAAAGTGTGAAGGACTGAGTGACCCAATATTAAATACGTGCAAAGAAAGCTCCAGATTTTCTTCCTCCTGCCTGGTAGCCCTAAGAAAGAGCCTTGTAGCCTGGATCACTTTTTTGTGTCTTGGAGAAATGTCCCCTCAAAGCCCCCAGTACACATAAATAATGCCCCTTTCCTCCCAATATCCTTGAACTTCTCTGTAAGAAAGAATCTTCACTGATTCACTGTTTTCTCCTACTCAAATCACTACCTTTCCCAAGGTCTTGCCTTCATTTACTATTTCCTACCCCAACCCCAGCAAAATTGCTGCTCTTGTCCCCTCCCTGTTCCAGCCTCCAAGTATTTGCAAACATTCAGTCCCCGTCCACCATCAACCTTCTCCCCGCCAGCTTACCAAAACTTGAAGATGATGCCAGTAGCCACAAGAACAATGATGATGGAGATTGTGATTGTGACATAGAGCTGGGGGTCCACACCTGATTGGGGTGGGGAGAAAGTTGTAGGGAGGCCTGAGGAGGTAGGAGCCAAGAGGCAGTTGGGGTGGGGTTAGACTAAGGAGTATTGACGTATGAACCCACATTGCTCAACTCTTTCTGCTTCTCTGAAGCCTCCCTCTTTATTCTTATCACCAACTTTCCCAAGTTCTCAGCTATTTTCCACTTTCCCAAATGTATTTCACCTAACATTACATGTATATGTGATTAGGATGAGGAACCAATATCAGAGAGAACTTACCTCTCTGCATAGAAATTAGGGGGTGGAGGTGTCCTAGTCTCTGCCCTCTCCTGACCCTATACCACTGGCCCCATCCCTCTACTGGCACTCCCTGAGCCAAGATATCACTCTTTTCGTTCTTTTTCACTGTGGTGTACTTCTATCTGGATACTCCCCCTGTGTCAAGGTCCAGCTCAGATGTCAATTCTCTGAAGGTGTCCTAATCCCCTGGCATATGTATTCTCTTACTTCTCTATTTTCCTAACAACAGGCTGTTTCTGCCTCTGTTAGAGCATTTATTATGTTGACTCATCCCTGAGTATTTACACATCTGTCTTCAATGGACCTGCATTCCTTGAGGGCTCAGAAAACATCTTCATCTCTGCATCCATGCCAGGATACAGCCTGACACATTCACTGAAAAAACTTAGATAAGGCCTCCCTTAGAGTCTTCAACCAGCTTCCCCACCCCTCATATCCCCACTATTCTTGCCTCCTCACCTTCTCCATGCCCCCACAGGAATGGCCTCAGGGTAGCAGGTGTTTCTCCAAGGATGAGCCCATCTCCATCATCCCGCATGGAGTCTGAGTTGGGATGTGGAGTAGCCAGCCCATGGGGGGCTGCAAAACCATAGTCCAGGGGCAAAAATCCAGGATTGACTGAGTTGGGGTCCCCCCCATCCTCTCGAGACACTGTGGGGCCCCACACAATAGCCCAGGGATACTGAGATGAGGGAGGTCCCTCCTCAAAGCCTGATGGGGTGGCAGGGGGCGCAGTGCCTGGCAGAATTTGCCGACGTAATCTTGGTACCCGAGGGGACCGACTTGGTGGAGGTGCCCGCTCCCAAATGCACACATGTCGTGGAGCTGAGGGGCCACCCCGGGCACATGGGGGGCGGGCAGGGGCTGGTGGGGTTCGAGGGGAGGAGGAGGAGCCCTGAGCAGGCGGTGGGAGGGGCAGTAACAGCAGTGGCCAGAGAGGAAGGACATGGGACAGCAGCAGAGCAGGCCTACAAGAAGGGAGAGAAAAATGGGTGAGACACAGGCCAGTGTAGGGGTGAGGACATGCTCACACTAGAAATCCCAGGCTGCCTCCCTCCAGGTTTCTCTGAGAGCAGGCAGGCCTTGGAAAAACTCTAGCCTCTTTTCCCTTTTGTCTTAGGGGCTAGGTCCCAGGATGGAAGGCCATGGATGGGCCTAGGTAGGAAAGGGACAGGCCCCCAGGGAAAGTGGTCTCCAAGCTCCCCCTGCTGGGCCAAACTTACCACATCCTGGACTCCATGTCTGAGGTCTTCCTCAGCTGTGACCCAGATTTTCAGCCTTTACTGGGGGAAAAAAGGGTGGTCACACCACAGCCCTACTTCCCCAGCTCATTCATCTACCAGTTCTATTCCCATCTCCCCTCCCAGGGTGAATGGCTGCAAGACATGCTTCTGACTTCCAGGATCCGCTGATGCTTAACATTCGTTTGGGGGGGGTGGGGGTGGAGAACCTTCCAAAGTGGTTCCCTCACTAGCCCCTAGCCCCATCCACAACTTCCCAGGTCCCTGTTACCTCCCTGCCCCAAGGTCTACTCTTTCTTCTCTGGCTTCCTTCCTTCTCACTTCCTCTGCCCACAGCTTAGGCTTTTCTTGGATCTTAATTTAGAGCCAAGAACCTTGTGATTCCTTGAGCACCTACCGCTAGGGAGGGAGTCTCAGGGTTGGGGGAGGGAAGGGAAGGCAATCCCAGCAAATATGTGCGTGTGTTTGCACAGGAGAGCCTTCCAACCCTCCCACCCCACTTGTAGTCCCAGGCATTTTTCTTATGATCTGCCCTGGGAGTCATCTGCATCTTCAGGAGAGAAAGAGGAAGAGAGGGAGAAATAGAAGGAAAGAGAGGTGGGTGGGAGAAAAACTACAGAATATAATTTTGCTCTTAATGTTTAATCATCCAAATGCATAGGTACCCTCTAAAGAGAGGTTGAGTTGAGAAGAAGCCACCCCCTCAAATGTAGCTCTCCTGGGTAGAGTCTTCGGAGAATCTGGATGGTTGGTTTTGAAAGAGGGGCATGTTCTCAGAGCTGAGGGTGTTAGATCCAGGGGGCAGCCTCCCCAGAGTGAATAAAGATATGATATATGTGTTTTAAAATATGGACATTGAATACCCTCGGAGAACAGCAAGGGAATAAGATAAGCAAGTATGGGCAAGGGAATGGGGTAATGGACAGTGGGGAGAGATGGGAAGTGGGTGAAGGGCTGGGAGAGGGAAGGCTGGTCAAGAGTGGAAAGAGAGGAGAGAGACAAAAAGGAAGTTAAGCCTAGGTTGAGTGCAGGGTAAGGGAGAGCAAGCAGCCCTAAAAAGGAATAGACTGGGGAGAGAAGTGGAGAGAGTGGGTACACAAGACCAGAAATGCTGAGGAAGCTAAAGGGAGAAAAGGATAGGATAAAAGGTCAGGGAGGGGAAACAGAGCAAAGAGGCAAGGGGCAGGAAGAGGAAGAGGAAGGGTCCAGGTAAAACAGTCAGAGAAGTGAGAGTAGAAGGGGAAGGGAGAGAGAAAGATGGATAGATCAGGGATAGAGAGAAATAAGTGAGAGAGGAGAGAAAACTGAATACAGAAGACATAATGAGGAAGGGACTGGGGGACAGAGAAACAGGGAACAGCAAAGATGGAGGAGTTGGAAATTGTTTCTTCGAATTTAAGGGGATATGGAGACAGGGCTGGGGCATGGTGAAAAGGGATAAGGAATAGAAGTGAGAGGACTGGGTCCATGGTGGGGAGAATGAGGCTAGAGGAGGGAAGGGAGCAATGGTAGAGGAAACCAGTGGAGCGGAGAAGGGCTCATCTGTGGCCACCTGACTCCAGGACCCAGTTGTCCCTCCGCCTGATGCATTCCCTACCACAGTCAACTCCAGTGCCAGCACCCCATACCCCTTTGGTCACCCCCTCCAGGAAGGCCGCAGTACCCCGGCTGGCGCACCACCCCCACACTCTCCTGCTCCTCACCGACCTGTTGTGCGCAAGAGAGGAGCTGGGGGTGGGGCGGGAGCCTTGGGGTGCGGGAGCCGGTCCCCATCCCCAGCATTGCACCTAATCCCGCCCATCCTACGGGCTCCCGCTCCCGGACAGGGCTGGAAAGCGGTGGGAGTGGGGAAAACCAGGAAAAAGGTGGTCGGCAAAGGGAGGGAGTGCCGTAAGCGAAAAGGGGACCCAAGGCAGAAAGATGCCCGGAGCCCGCGGGCAGAGCCAAAGGCTGAATGGAAGCAGCCGCGAGGACGATGACTGCTGCACCAGGGAGAGCAGGATGGAGTCCGGACAGCAAAGGAATGGAGGGCAAGGTGGAGAGCCAGCTCTTGGGGGTTGGAGCTTGGGCGCGACGAGGGTCGTGCAAAAGGGCCTGGAAGGGTAGGGCTGGGCTCCCTCCGTGTGGGGACGTGAGGGTCCCCTTCACTCACCTGCATGCCTAGTGCGGAGATAAGACGACTGCAGGTATTCGAGTTTACGCCGGACTGGGGGGTCGTAGAAGCAGGTGGGGCACGAGGCATGGTCGGGAGGTTTGGCCCGCTGCAAGGCGCTGGAGCCGGAGGGGGGCGGGCGCCCGGGGCGCTGGGCGGTGGCGGCAGGAGATGCTCTCCTCGGCTGGGTTCGACTCAGCTCGGCTGTGCTCGGCGCGGCTTTTACGGCTCGGTCTCCGCCTCTCCCCCTCCTGTCTGTAAGGCCACTCACGGGTTAACCCTCCTGCTGCCGCGCTGCAGAAGTGGAGACCAGAGTTTTCAGGGTGGAGGACTGGAGAAGGCAGCGAGGGTTTGAAGGGGAACGACTTCCAGTTCTTCGGGTTCTGATGGTGGGCTTCCCGCCCCTCACCGAACTCCAAAGACACACACGATTGCCCCAGGTAGTTCTGAGATTCTGAGTCACCCAATATTCCTGAGTACTCAACTCTATGTTTCCCCTGGTAGAGAAGGGCCGAGCTCAAGGCTGTGGGGATATAGTGCAGAGAGGGATTGAGGAAAAGACCCTACAACATCATTGGAGTATCTCAACAGCGTATCTCCTATTTATCGCTGACTCTGCTACAAGGCATTCTCCCTGAAGCAACCCAAATGATCTTTAAAATAAGTGGATCAGGTCCCAATTACTCTACTTGGCTTTTCCAGTACTCACAATATCCAAACTCCCTACTGCGACTTACAGGGCCGCATAAAACTGGTCCCTGGGTGTATCTGATTTTCTTCCCTAAAGATCTCTATGTCTCAGCCTCAGTGGATCTGATCTAGAAGACAAACTGAATCTACCTCAGAGCTTTTACGTTTGCTGTTCCCACTATCTGGAATACTTTTCCTTGACATTTCACAATGACTCACCTTTTTTATTCCAGTTTCATTTAGCTCCAGTGTTTTCTGGCAGGCCTTCCCTAAACTCTCTACCAAATGTAGACTTCCCTAGCCCTACTCCCAACCTATCATGCCCCATACTCTTCTTTTATGTTACCCTGTTTGTCTTTGTTGCATTTCTAGGATCCTGCACTCTTCCTAGTTGCCATCCACTGGCTGTTCTTTCTTAGTCTTCCTCAGCTCTGGCCTCTAAACGTTGGAGCCTTCTAGGGCTTGGCCTTCTCTTTCTACATTCTCTGTCCAGTGATCTCATCCAGTCCCAGGGCTTAAATACTATGTAAATGTCAGTGAGTTCTAAATTTATATCCGGAGCACCAGACACATTTATCCAACAGCCTACTTGACATCTTCACTTGGATGTCTAATAGCCATGAAAAACTAATGTGACTGGAATAGATGTCTTGAATGCTCCCACCCACAATCCATTGCTCTCCCAGTGTTCCCTATGCGGGGACATGACAATTCCTAGTTAAGGTTAAAAACCTAGGATGGTTTTTTTTTTTTTTTTTCACTGATTTCTTCCTTTAGTTTAGTTCCCCAGCAAGTTCTATGGGCTCTGCATCCAACATATGTCCTAAATTCATGCCCTTTTCTTCATCTTTGTTGCTATAGTCCTGATCCAAGCTATCAACTTTCATGTGGAATATCACAGTAGCTTCTTTACTGGTCCCTCATTTCTGCCCTTATCCTTTACAAACTAGTCTTCACAATATTAGTAATACTTCAAAAATCTAAATCATATCATGCTTTTATTTGTTTAAAAGTTCAAGTGGCTTTTTATTATACTTAGAATAAATCTGAACACCTTGTGAGGAGAAGCCCACCAACTTGTACTCCCATTCATACACAAAGACAAATCAGACTTCTTTGTGTGGGCTGGGGACAAGTAGTAAGAATCAACCCAGAGCCTTATATATACTGGGCAAGCACTCTACCACTGCACTACAGCCTCAGCTCTTTTATTTTTTTTATTTTGAAATAGTCTCATTAAGTACCCCAAACTGGAATCGAACTTGTGATTCTCCCATCTCAACCTTCCAATTACCTAGGTTTACAGGCCTGGGCTACCACACCTGACTCAAATCAGATTTCTTACTGTTCTAGAACATCAGAAATTATCTTCTTAACAACCCTGCACTTTGAGTCCCTTTTCCTGAAATATTTTGCTACCCCTTTCTCCATCTTTACCTGATTGACTTCTTCTTGCCATTCAGATCTCTACTCCAAATCTAAAGTGGGGGGCTGGGGGCATATCTCAGTAATAAAGCATTTGTCTAGCATGCACAAGGCCCCGAGTTTAATGCCCAACACCACAACACACACACACACATAAAAAAAAATCTAACGTGGTCCCCAAATTCTGCTTCATCATTGTTTCATTGTCTTTCAGACCCATTGCTTTCTGGAATGATCTTATATCTCTTTAATGTCTGTTCCCACATATGCTTGAGATCAAAGACTTCATTTTTCTTGTTCACCCTAGATCCCAACTACACCCTATACTACCAACTACAGTACCATGCCACATGGCAGATACTCAATATTTATTGCTTAGTGAACTCCTTCTAGGACCCTTGCCTACTCTAAACTCTTTTCCTTTTCTCCTCTGCTCTTATCTTGAATTTCCTGTCTATCTGCCTGCTCTCCCTGATCTCTGCCTACAGCTTCAGTTGAGTCTTTGCTGACATGCACACCCCTCCAGGCTCTCCCCCTTCCTATGCTGCATTATTACCATCATTAGCCTGGCACTGCTGCCTCCCGGAAGGAAGCCTGCTATTCTGACCAGCATCTGCAATGACTGTCCTCCTCCTTGCCTGTCCCTGACAGCCCTTCTTTTGAGGTCAAATACCAAATGAGTGAGCCATCCTCTCAGTGTCTCCCAGTGGCACATTAGATGGGAATGGGACCATGGAGCCATGTGAGGTAGTTTTGTGTGAAATCTGCCACATCTTGGTCCAGTGAACCTAGTGCATCCTGAGGATATGCTTTCAGTGAACTCATTGTATGACTGATGTGGACCAGTCACATTTATCAGATGAATAGTCACTTTAGTATAAACACCTTTTACAGCTGGGCATGATGGCACATACTTGTAATCCCAACAGCTTGGGAGGCCAGAGCAGGAGGACTTCAGTCCTAGCTAGCCTCAGCAATTTATCGAGGCCCTAAGTAATTTAGTGAGAACCCTGTCTCAAAATTTAAAAAATAAAAATAAGAAGGTCTGGAGATGTGGTTCAGCCTCTGGGTTCAATCCCTGGTACCCCCCCACCACCCCTAAATTTTAAAAAAAAGGCACCACTGCCTTTGTAGAGTTTATTATTTAGTTAGGGAGATAAATATAGAGTGATAGGCTGGGGCATGGCTTAGTGGTAGAGTGGCCCTGGGTCCAATCCCCGGTAGTCCTCTGACTCTATGGTATCTTTTTTTTTTTAAGATTTTTTTAGTTGTAATTGAACACAATACCTTTATTTTATTTATTTATTTTTATGTGGTGCTGAGGATCAAACCCAGGGCCTTGCATGTGCTAGGCAAGTGCTCTACTGATGAGCCACAACCCCAGCCCTCTATGGTATCATTATCATCACCTCTGGACTCAGGTATGGATCTTAGTATCTGTCAAGTTGAATTTCTGTTTTCTGTCTTCAATGTCCAATGTCCTGAACTCTTCTCCCTTTCAGCTAATCTTGCTTGCTTCTTTTCTGAAAAAAATAGAAAAAAGCAGAGAAAATCTTTTCCACTTCTACCACCACCTCCCAGCCCTGTTGCTCCTTCTATGTGAATTCTAGACCCTGTCACCCACTCAAATATATTACTTCAGTGACTGTCCCTCCCTCTTCTGCAGCACCACTTTTCTCTTCCTGACTTGATTATTGCCAGCAGCATGCAAGCATGCTGTAATTTCTCCCACCTTAAAACAAATCCTCGGGCTGGGGTCATGGCTCAGTGGTGGAATCCTTGCCTCACACATGCGGGGCCCTGGGTTCAATCCTCAGCACCACATATAAATAAGTAAAATAAAGGTATTGTGTCCAACTACGGCTAAAAAATAAATACTTGGAAAAAAAAATCCTCCTCAGCTATGTGTTTGCCTCCAGCATCTGCACTGCTTTGCTTCCCATTACAGCAAAGCTTTCTCAGAAGATGGCTTCCATTTGCCCTCTCTACATTTCCTCCCCACCATTCCTTCACTTTCTCTCTGGTCAACTCAAATATAAACAGTTTAATTTTCAAAATTCATTATTTTGGTAATAACTGGTAACACATTGGCATGTTTAAAGTAAGCTTTAAATATATAGAAAGGTATAGAGTGAAAGTTTTCACCCCACCCAGTTCCCTTCCAATTCTCATCCCTGATCTCAATGTGGCTCATTTCTATGTATTCTTCCAGAGTTTCTTTATGTATACATAAAGCAAATAGCAATATAAATTTTCTCTCCCCCTCTCTTTTTTCTTTTTTATATGCAGCATTGGAGGTTGAACCAAGGGGTGCTTTACCTTAAGTTAGATCCCAGCCCTTTTTGTTTTTTATTTTGTGACAGGGTCTCACTAAGTTGCTGAGGTTGGCCTCGAACTTGCAATCCTCCTCCCTCAGCTTCCCAAGTTGCTAGGATTGCAGGTATGCATCACCACACCCAGCTCATTTTAACCAATTTTAAGTGTACAGTTCAGTGGTATTAAATACATTCATAATGTAAAGACATCACCATCATCTCCACAACTCTTTTCATTTTATAAAACTAAAACTCCAGGGCTGGGGATATAGCTCAGTTGGTAGAGTGCTTGCCTTGCATACATGCACTAGGCCCTGGGTTCAATCCCTAGCACCACAAAAAAAAACCCCTCCATACTCATTAAACAATAACTCTCCAGTACTGCTGTACTCTCCTCAGCCTCTGGCAACCACCATTCTATTATCTGGCTCTATGATTTTGATCACTGCCTAATTCAAGGACTAAGTTTGCCAGTGACTTTCATCCATAGGATTCCTTCATCCTCCCATCCCCTATTTTCTTTCTATAATTACTATCCCCAAACTTTTTTTTTTTTACCATTTTGTTATTTTAAGACTTTTTATTGGGGCTGGGGATGTGGCTCAAGCGGTAGCGCGCTCGCCTGGCATGCGTGCAGCCAGGGTTTGATCCTCAGCACCACATACAACCAAAGATGTTGTGTCTGCCGAAAACTTAAAAATAAATAAATAAATAAATTGCTGGGGGGTCTCACTACTTGCTGAGGCTGGCCTTGAATTCTTAAAAAAAAAAGACTTTTTATTGTCTTTTTAATAGT